GGAACGCTTCAAGGTAAGAATTGTGCATTAAGGAAAAAAAAATCACAGGTTGAGAAAAATATTGGATTGCAGACTTAAAATCTTCAAACAAGGACGTGGAAACAAAAGTTTGGAAGTCAAAAAGGTTTTCTTTTTGTTTTTTAGAGAAAAACCTGAGAGGGTAGGGGTTAAGGTAAGACCCCTAACCTGTATATAAACAGACTCCAAATGGGCTGGAAAATCACATATTTACAAGTTCATACAGCAAGTAAAAACAACTAAAGTCGTAAATAGAAGAGAAAGAAAAAGAAAAAGACAACCAAATCGAAATATCTGGAAGTGGGCTATCAGATGTCCAGGCAAACAGTCTGCGCCACAAGTGAGCTAAAACGTAAAAAACCAAAACGACTACCTAAATCTGAAAGATGGGTAACCAATTTGATCCATCTGCACAAGCGTACGGATGCGGATAGGAGCGTCGTCCGGATGAAGGATGCGCCTCTGGTGAGTGGAGGCACTGATGTAAGCAAAGAAGTCAGCGGGTCGGTTCCCCTCATGGAAGATGTGTGATATCCGATAGCGAACTGACTGGAGTGTGGATCTAATGCGCATGAGCGGGTGCTGAATCTGCCACGAACCCTGGTGGCCTGAGGTCAAGAGGGTGACGACAGCGGCAGCATCCAACTTAATCCAAATGTGAGAAGAGATGGTGGCTGCGATCTGAAGACCAATCTGAAGTGTTCTGAACCTCCGCATCATAACTCGATGTGACCTGATGAGGGGCGTGGAAAGCTATAGTGAGATCTTCGCTGTGGTGATTAGGTCCCCTCCTCTGGAAGCTCCGATAAGTCGGTCGAGGGATCCGTCAGTGTTTATAGAAGTCAGAAAGGTTTTGTTACCGTCTTTATGGAGGATTATTTGGCATCTAAAAAAAATTCACAGTTAGAGAAAAAATATTTGCCTTTCATACTAGTAGTTTTCAAACCATAATATAATAGCAGGCATATCCCTTTATGATAGCTGAGAATCGATAGTTGATACTAATTTTTGCATCATTAAGGGTAAAATTATTCTTTTTTTTTGGGATAACTGATTTTTAATAAAACAAGATTATTTCTGCACGATCATTAATAAAAGTTTTGTTGTACAAAAATCATCAATCTGCAAGGCAACTTTTCTGTGAAAGTTGTGATATGATTATTTGATGTCACAAGTGGAAAGTTCTATGGGGGAAAAGGAGCCTAGCAATCTGAATAGAGGAGTGAGAGCAATGTGGAAGGCAACTTGGAGGCTGAAAGTGAAAAATAAAATCATGAACTTTCTCTGGAGAGCTTGGTTTGGCTACTTCAGTACTAGAAGCCAACTTGCAAAGAAATGCATAAAAGGGGAAATGAGATGTGAGGTTTGTGGAGAGGAGAATGAGGATATAGAATACCTTTTCCTTAAGTATCAAATGGCTGAATTGTGCTGGAAATTGATGGGAATCAAGTGGTCTGGATGGGGGCAAGCCCAGTTTACCTTCAGAGATTGGTAGCACACAGTTTGTACTATAGGGGCTGACCATTGTCTTATTGATAGAATTAGTCTCTCCACCTACCTTCTAGGGTGGTTGTGAAAGACTAGAAATTTATGGATCTTTCAATAAGAGCGGATGGAGGCAGAAGACATTGTGATATGAGCTAAAAATGAAAGACTGGAGTTTTTAGAGGCTACTGCTGGTGATGAAAGGAGTCGGGGGAAAACTAGTGTTCTCAGACCTCACTCTAACACCCTGTTATTTTATAAGAGAAAATACCGACTATTTTCCAAAAATCAGATTTTATTTTTCGCACATCATTTTAAAATATTTATTTAACGGGCATTGCTCAACTTATCTCAATTAATCATCTTAAGCCTCAACTTAAGCAAATGGGAAAACCATCCCAAAACATCATCACAAGCCAAACGTGTTAAACATGCCTCAATGATAATATCAAATCCTTACCAACGTCAACAAATTCCAATTCATAGTTTTAAAGCATGCAAAATATTCAAGTACATAATCCAGTCTCAAATTCAACAATTTAACATGTCTGGCAGGAGATAACAATAATAATAACATTGCAGAAGCAATAACAAATCATAAGCAACAAATAATATAACCCCGCTCGCTCGTCCTTCGCCGCAGCTGCCAACTCAACTTGAAAAGAGGGAAATAGTGGGAGTGAGCGACCAACATGCTCACTGTGGGAATACCACGCATTCTATTCAATATAATGACTTGAATCATAATCGCAGCATGAACACAAAATCGTCTAGTCTACCTCCTAAACAGCCCTACGCTCATGTGATCGCATCTAAATCGTCGACACAACATCAGCGGGAGCTCAACCGTCGGCACAACATCAACGGAAGAACCTCTCTATAGGCTAAAGTAGGAGAACATCGACATCATATCAACGTGAGACCCTCTCTTAGACTAACTGTTCACATGCATACATTGATTATCAAGCCAAACAATTATATCAAATAACATACACGGTAAGGTTTATCGACACCCACTTGCTTAGTCGAAGCGGACGAATACACCAGGTCAGATGCAGGTAGGCAGAGGCTCGACTCGTTAAACACCTACATTTAATCAAGATAATATTTCAAAAATACTTATCTTGAAAATTGGCAATTTCAAAGGAAATTCATACTTAAAATTATCGACTAAGTAGCTCGTGGAACTTTTTATTTTTCTAAAGGCTCAACGAACAACGACAACCAGTCTAAAAGATAAAATAAAAATAAAACAAGAAGTCCTAAACTTTACCTTTGGAGAGGTTAAAAAAACAATGACTAACATAATAACCCCAAGGAAGAAAATAAAAATATAGCAAAAGCATGCATGATGTGGTTCCATCACTGGAAAAGTCGTTTACTATCATGTTCAAAATGTTATGTTTGTACTATTTTTGTTACGTTTTTCGTTATTGTTTTGTAATTCTTTTTCCCTGTTTTAAGTCTTTTTGTTAGTTTTTTATTAGTTTTGTGTTTTATTATGTATTTTGTTCCATTTTGGTTTTCTTTGTGTTTTTCGTGTGTTTTTCCGGTTTTTCTTCATTTTTGGTGTGCAGGTCGAAAGTCTCGTGAGGAGTCGATTATAGACCGGGCAATCATGGTGGACTTATTGGCTACACATAGGAAAAACCGGAATTTGATTTCGAGTTCGGATGAATCCGGACGGAACCAAAATGCAAAGCCGCGCAAGTTACCGACCCTTTTAAAAGTTGGAAATTCCACAAAATTTGTATCCTGGGAAAAAGTGTGGTTTTAAAGTATCATTGGATAGAGGGGTTTGTTAGCTACGCGTAGGAAAAAACGGAACTCAATTCCGAGTTCAGACGAGCCAAAACGAGCCAAAAACGTAAAGCCGCGCAGTGCAGTCGCGAGAAGGCCGCGAGTTGGCAACGATTTTTCTCACTTTTCTTCACTTTTCTTCCTTTTTCTCCTTGGTAGATGATGGTTGTTGATGATAGTGTTGACAATGGTTGATAGTGTTGATATTGGTATGCTACTTATCATCTATAAATACCCACTTCATTCATCATCGAAACCATCTCCTAAAAAATCCAAATTAATCACAATCCAAATTTATCACAATCCTTTAATCCTTCCATTACTTTCACTTAGTGTGTTTCTAGATTAGTTCTTGTGTTGAATTTTGGAGGTGTTCTCCAAGACTTGTACTTGTTCCGGTTTGGCGTGTATTTATTCTCAGTTTGGCGTTTGTATCAACTTTATTCATCAACTTGGATTACATGTAAGTTTTCTTTCTTGTAATTATAATTTGCAATGAATCTTATGTTGAGTTTATTTTTTATATGAATAGCTAAATCATTAGCTAGGGGTAGGGAATAATTATTCCGGTTTAAGCTCGTTTATACGCATGATGATAATTCTATCTGGACGAGTTGTTTTAATCATGAATTAATAAATTAAACTTGGTAAATCTTTATAACCTAAGAGTGACACTTAGGTTAATTTTATGATATAATCAAAGAGTGACACTTTGATTTGTGCTTGATATGGATTTATTAAGTTAAATTTTGTTAATTTTGTGAATTACAATTTGTAGAACCGAAAGGGGAGGAGTTGTAAGAAAATAATTTATTTTATAACCGAAAGGGGAGAAATTGATAGAACTTGGCTCGTTTAGAATAGACATGTTCGGAGACGTATTGTCTATGTGTTAATTGTTTCGTTAATTTGCTCGTTTATGTTTTTCCATATATTACGAGAGTTAGTATGGTTGAACTGCTAAATGAGTTAGTTAGTTGAACTACTTAACCGAGTTATTGATTGTCGTTGAATGAGTGTAAAACCGGAAGTGATTTATTCCCGATTCCCTAGCTTCTTTATTATTGTCTTGTTTATATTTTTAGGTAGATTATTATTGTTATTTCTTAGTTGATATTTTAGTTAATTATTATTCAATTCATTTTGATTAGAGTGTTTAGGATTTATTTTCATTATTTTCCGTAATCGATGTATAAGTTAATCGACATCAATATTAAATTCCGAACAGTCTTCCTCGAGAGATCGACTTTTTCGTTTGAAAGTTTTAACGAGTAAAACAACTTTATCGTTCGAAAGTTTTTACGAGTAAAACGATAGTAAAAAAAAATAAAAAATAAAAATAATAATAAAAAAAAAATCTTTTTCATTATATTCGTTTGAAAGTTTTTACGAGTACAACGACTTTTTCGTTTGAAAGTTTTAGCGAGTAAAACAACTTTATCGTTCGAAAGT